AAAGACACTGGGGATGTTTTTTTCCAGGCCACAAACCCATGGCAAGGCGCCAAACCTTATCTAGCTGTCCCACAGGGGTGTGGCAGTCTATTTATCTACGATTTAGAATGGGTGTCAGCACACGTATTTCAATTAAAAAAATAGCCAATATTTTAACATCTTTCTTAAAGACAACCAGCCTGATTTGTGTGATTAATTTGGCCAATAAAGACTGGATTTGCTTATTAGATTCTACGGCAGGCATTTCCCATAAACTGAATGAACTCTGTCTGCAGCCCCTAGGGAAATCACATTCTCTGTAACTATCTAAACGTATGATAAAAATGTTTTAAATGTCAGCTGAAAATGCACGAAGGGGTGCCTAGTTCTGTAAACTCTTTTAAGAGGCACCAAGTAAGTTAGCAGAGCCCTGCTTTTAGACCACAGGTCTTCCACTTGGTCCTCTCGGGCCTGAGGTTGGCAGCTGGGGCTCATTTTCCAGTCATAATTGTAGCCAAAGTGAAACCACCTCCATGCAATGCCCACAACCTTCTAGATTAAACAGACGATGGTAGTGAAGTCAATATTTCCCTTCCCTGGTTCTAACCAGGGTGAACGTGATGATTACTACAAGGCTGCCGCTAAGTGAGATGCCGTGGAAGGAGAAGTTTGTGTGTATGAAACCAGAGGCCAACCCTGAGGCCAACGATGTCCGGGGTTTGTGCTTCCTGCGCCGCTCAGCCAATAGGCCGACACAGGAGTTGGGTAATAGAACAAGCGTTAATTACCGGAGCACTGGTGGTCAGAGAAGGCAGTGGGTTAATATCTCCAAAAACTGCCTTTACGTTATCAGACCAGCTTGGGGCATTTCAGGGGAAATCTGAGCATCCCTCTAAAGGCTATGTGAGGTTTCCTGCGGTCGCATGGAGCCTTCTCTCTGGCAATGTGGCTCTCTGGTGGCATCAGCAACCCAGGAACAATGATGGGAGTAGCCTGGAAAAAACTGCTAGACCATTGAGATTGTGATCAATAAGCCTAAGGGTATTGATCATAAATTTCGGGGATAATTTTCTAAAATGGGGAATTGGGTGGGACAGGGGACATTCCGAGCTCAAGCCGCAGGGGGAATGATCTATTGTTAAGCTATAGGTAGGTCAAGGAAAGGTGAGGCCTGGACTTTTTGAACCAGGCCCTGCTTCCTGTATGGAAGAAGGAGGTGGGGTGGGGGGATGGGAAGGGTAAGGGGAGAATCTGAACGTGCGGATGTGTGTGTGTTTGGGAGTGGGTGAAGGGAAGGGCCATCTCTGAAGAAGTGGCCCAAAATGTGTGGGAAGGGCAGTGGGGCTGAAGGCCTGATGACCAGGCTTGTCTCTGGTGACCTCAGGCGAGTCTTTTCACCTTCCTGAGCCTCCAAGCAATGGCCCAAAGACTCACCCTGCTATCTGTCCACAGGGCTGCAGAATAGAGGAAACTGATGACTAAGAGAGGGCTTGGTCAAGCTGTAAGAGTGGGGCAGAGGATGGGTGGGGAGGAAGCAGTGGTTAGGACCCCATCCTCCACCCCAATGGGAGAGAGATGCTGCTGGAGTTAGGTAATTGATTAATAATAACTTTTTTTTTTTTTAGTTTCTTTTTTTTAAAATTGGGGAATTGGGGAAGGGGAACAGCCAAGTTGTTGTCCTTCAATCTTAGTTGTGGAGGGCGCAGCTAGCTCAGCTCCAAGTCCAGTTGCCATCTGGCCGCCTGTTGGCAGCTCAGGGCCACTCAGCTCAAGGTGCCGTGTTCAATCCTAATTGCAGGTGGGTGTAGCCCAC